ACGATCGCTTTTTTGCTTCTGGATTTTGACGACGGGTAAGAAGTTGACGGGTGAATGGTAGAGTTCTTGGACACTAGGAAATTACTGTAAAAGTATCACTTGCCCGAATCGGGCAAGTGATAATTTGATTTACTTGCCCGACGGCTCAATTTGGTTGCCCCGGGACGTCGGGCAAGCGGGTTTGTCGCGCCCTGCAAGGATCAATATATTTATTATACTGGGTTAGCCATATTTACTGTACCTGAGTTGAGACTGTCAAATATATATAATGCCTTCTCAGAGGACTTTACTGCCATAGCAGAGTTTCAAACCATTATGGTCTAATATCTTCTTAGAATGGAGGGGGTTGGTAAGGGAGGGAAGTTTCAAGTAAGAATGAACTGGTAGCTAGGCCTATAGTCAGATTCATATTGTAGTCATTAAATATTCATTTAAAAATTCAAATGGATAGAAACAAAATAGTAGTGAAAGATCTGAGCTTTGAAGCTCCTTCACACATCCAAGGAACACAGCATGTACATGTATCAAGATAGATCTTGATCAGTGGTATCCTGGTTCGAGACATGACATCCTGATCATAAAACCAATGTTTAGGTTTACCACATGTAATTTTCAGACTTTCAATATGATGTCAACAAACTTGGACTAGAAGCAATTTTTTGAGACAATGTCCTGATGTACACATTGTACACATACATGTAGTTTAGACAAGGCATGATGTAGTGACAGAGGCCTTATTATTACAGAGGCCTTGGTTTGGTAAATTTGGATATCTGCTTGGAGGAAACAAACAATCTAGCTGATTGTTCTGTCTCTCATGCCCCATTCCGTCCTAGCCTCTTCCCAAGTCCATTCGGTTGAAATATTTTTTATTCAATGCAGGCATTATATGAACTCCATATACATGTATGAAATCTAATTATGCTCTTTAGGTTTGCAAAATGTTAGCACTAAAACCATTGATGACCAGGTTGCTATTCACAAGAAAAAGTATTGATTCTAGAAAGTTTTTTAAAAATTATATTTGAATGGATACTTTCATTCTTATAGCCAGACTGGAGACAGATACAGATGTGTTATATTGGATTACACATTATTGACACAACATAGGAAATGAATGGAGGTTACAATACATGTACCGGTAGTTCCATGCAATGATCTACTTTGTTTCAGGGTTTGGAATTTCACACCACCTCTTTTCAATTATTTCCAGCCTTGGCGGAGTCATTAAAATTACTCTCACAAGACTTCATTAGGTTGCTCACTGAAACAAGGTCCCTGATTGGTCTATTCTGCCATGACAATGTGACATACTCTTTGTATTGATCAGTTATTACTGTTGGTCTATCTTCTCTTTGGTGCTACATAGGAGACAGTTTTTGTCTCACCTGCATAGCACTTAGCGGAGCGAGACATACATGTAGGCGTCACTATTTCCGGAGGCGTGTAATAATTCCTTGGGTTTACTAAGAATAACTTTTTTGAAGGTGCTTGTCAAGGTTAAAAATAGGTCAAATCTGCCAAAGGCTAACGGTCAAAAGGTCAATGAATGTTTTTTTATATATTTATTTCTTAATAACATTGGCTTCCTGGATAAGAGTAAAGTGTGATATAGTATTTACAGCATACTTAAAGGTAATACAAAGTTTTGGGAAATTTTGAAACTATGGTGGATAGTGATTCTTTACAATTTGTATATATTTGGATGCCCCTGTGAATGTATTATAAGCACTAAAAAATATAAGCCCCTAAAACACTTCTGCTTTTGAGAAAAATTGAGTATAAACATTTACCGGTGCTCCCGGTAAATTTTCATAAATTTAAAATAACACCTACGGCCAACCAATGGTAGCTGCGACCATGAAAATCTCAGAATATGTAGTTGTGATATATAATTTAGCCAATCGGTCGATTCTAGTCAAGACACATTGTTTTATAGCTGAATTAATATCTTGACCTTGAGAGGAAGCTATACAACATAATGAGTTTATTATTTAAAATTTCATAACTTTAGACTCGATTTCAACCGCGACAACGATCCCTGAATATTGTAGTATCGCATATGCTTCCAATATGTTCATTTGAACCAAATTCATGACCCCATACCAAAACTTTGCATTACCTTTAAGCAGTGTTCTCTCGTTGTCCAGAGATAAAGTCTTTGCAACTTTAGCATTATTGCTGTAGTGTAAACTGTCAGTACCATCATCCTGAACTGAGCATTGCGTTTGCCTTGTATATAATTTGAATACATATCTCAGGCTTAGTATTGTATGGGTTAAGCACAGTTAATCACCCCTTTGCTTGTGACTATAACTTAACGCTTCGTCTCATAACGGCATCAAACAACCTCTGTGACTGGGTAATCTTCATCAGTCCTGTCATGCCATGCATGTATTGCTGCGCGTGATTGGACAATATCACATCGTTGGTTGAGCGCCCAGTTGAGGCGGCGGGCGCTGGGGCAGAGGTATTTTTTTCCTCTGTCCAGTGATCTGTTGAGGTAATTATCTGCCAATTAAGCAAGGACACGAGCGGTTGGCATAGATCTGCAAGAGCAACTGGGAGTACGTGGGACTACCTAAGTTTGAAATGAAAACAATGTGTGAAGCCACAGACACATTGAGAAGATGGCCTTTCGTAGCTTGTTGATCCATGACCGTATCAGCAGGGACATCAAAAGAAAATGGTCTGTTTTATGTTTACTGTTATAGCATATTTAAAATATATGAAGTGAATATATGTATTAATATTTGATAAGAAAAACAGTCTCTTAAAGATATATGATAGGCCTAAACATGTTTGTTGAAGAAGCAAGGTGCAAGAAATTCTTGATATGGGGCATGTAATTCAGAAAAGTCTCTTATGTTTGACAAAGTGAATTAAAAGCATACTGGTGATAGTTCTCTTTTTTGTTATCTATTTTGACATCTGAAAACATTAAATTCCAGTTCCTGTGAAAAAGGTATACATTGATCCCATGATGTCTAATGTTTTAGTGCTAGCTACATGTAAGTGATTTAACATACATGCATACTAACATGGAGACAAAGGGATACAAAGTAAGCCCCCCCCCCCCCCAAGAGTTTTAACATATTCTGATTAGTAATGGTTGCTCACATTCAAGCATAGCTGTGTTGTCACAACGCCAGCTGGCACGTAGGTTCGTTTAATCATCCCCATGTTCTTAAAACAAGGAAGGTATAGCAATTAATTAATTTCAGACCACGTAGCAAGCACATTTGATTTACGTCAAAGTCGAGCCATGTCACTCCCCATGCATGCCTAATGTAACAACTTTTCCAGAAGGGATGAATTTTATTTGGATTTAAGTAGCATCACATTCCATCTTATTTTGTTGCTCTTTTCATGATACCTTTTGTCATTTTCTATGTTGAAACCAAAGCTTCAAGAGATAATTGTAATGAACGTAATAATTACTGTTGTAGGCCTAGACCTACTTATAAGGTTATCAATATCATCCATATATTATTTGCCTGATTTTGTACATTATCTGATTACAATATCCTTTAAAAACAAGTTCAGTTGGTATCATTCTAGTTACTTAAATTTCTTTCATTTGAGACCAACATTATTGTCAGTTGGCAATGAATTTTCTTTTGATATGAGCAAGCGGAAATGCATGGGAAATGATGGTAGACAATTGGCAGGTCTCTGCACTTACATTTTTCACAGAAGGATTGTGTAGGGCATGAGCCCACTACATAAATGTATGAATATTGAGGTCCTGAAATTAAAATTTGGGCGATGTGCACCATGCTTCATTAGTACAAGCCTAGCAATTTGAATAAATACAGTGATAATTCTTGTAGATGAAGTACCGTAGTTTATTTGGACCTGAAAGCTAAAATATTTTTATTTTTTTAATTGTTTGTTTGTTTTTTGTGGTTTGGGGTGTAAGGTAGAAGATCCTTATTGTTCTATACTTTTCTTTTTTTGCATCATCATATAACTGTCATCATATTTCCATCCCTGGTCGAAGTTTGATAAAAACAGAGAATTGTACTTCCAACAAAGATCACAAATCACAGTCTTTGAACTCCGTCCTCCTGACAAGAAGAAATAAACAACCATTAGAAAGTCAAGTCATATAGATGCTGCTTTCACCATAGGTTTATTTCTGTTAGCCTGAAAACAAACTTGAGCGTGAGATAATAAACTCTATGAGAAAAAAGTCTTAGTTTTATATCTTCTCATAATATTATTGATCAACCTAAAGAGTCATAGGCATTGATCAATAAAGTTCTTTAAAAATACAAACTTTATCTATCAAGTATAATAATCCATACTATCTCAATCACTTCATTAAGAGAAAATCATTCAAACATTATGGACAACAGTGTACATTGTTTTTATTAGTGTTCTTTTTTGGTTGCTGTACCTTTACCATCAGTTGCAGGTTCTCTTACAACTGTCATTACAAAGAGCCTCTGTTCAATGCGTGCACTACAGAGATGATTAAAGAGGAGAAAATAATGCCTGTTTTAGATCAGGCAGTGATGGTTTTGAATGTCTGTATAAACTGTGTAATGAGTAAAACAAAAGGTTGATTTATGATAGAGGAGAGTGCCTGATGAGGGTATATGAACGAACGTAGACAGATGGCTGCATCTTTGTTTAGCCTCAAGATGATGTACTTCGACACATCTAAGTACCTCTCTGTGCTTATTGATCTCTGAAATCCTAGCTTAACATTGATGTCAAATTTGCAGCCCTAAGACTGAGAGGAATCCTGCATCCTTGTGAATAGAATTGTCATAAAGCAGACATAAATCATAAACTGGATTAAATTATGCGTTCTCATCACTAGTATTCATGATTAATGGGTTCTGTTCTGAGTTGCCCTTACCACTGCAATTATAGGTATTTGAACGAGGAATTGTACTCCAGAAACAGTATGAATAAAATAGTCGTAAAGCAGAGCTATAGGCCAAATTATACATGTCTACTTGTGATTAATGGTGTAGTTGGATTGATGTTATGTGTTTTTCATGATTGTTGAAGTTATCATTTCTCTCTTTCTCTCTGTTTTCCAGTTGTATCACCAGGGAGACGTACAGAAGAGTCCGCCCCTACGATAACGGAACAACCCAAGAGTTTGATTGTGACGAGAGGAGACCCAGCCTCGTTCAACTGCAAGGCTGAAGGAAGACCAGAACCTACTATTTCAGTGAGTATCTCATTTACAGTTACACTAACTCAGATATTCACATATGGGACACTAGGCATTACATGCAATACAGTATTGAACTTCACTGCTTGTGACTCTTCAAAGTTTTGTTGATCCTGTTAAAATAGGATGGAGTATTGCGACCGTTTTAAGAACATAAACAAAGTGAAAACCATTGAATGTCATACATACGATTCACACTTGTAAACATTGTGACCATTCTAGAGTAAGTGTTTCCTAATCGAGACATATCCCTTAAAACATTACAGTTCACCTGTTTCCCTCACTATTGATGCTTGCATTATCATTGTAAAACTGTACAAAAATGCAACCCCGTTAGGACAAAAAGCTGGTTCATAATAACAGGAGAGTGCATTTTGACCAGTGGGAAAATATACCAGCACTATATCTGTTCATCCAGTTACTTACAGACCATGCACAAAAATCTGTTTAAAATTGATTCAGCTTCGGCCGTTTGGGAAAGGAAATGAAAAGGAAAGCTCGCCTGTAGGCATTTCGTTTTGCCAAGTAACTAAATTCCCCCAGACACTAATTCGGGCAATGCTAAACACCCACAATCCCACATTGCAGCAAAACGTTAACTAAACAAAGCTGTAATTGATTGAAAATAGTGATGCATACAAATAGGGCTACAATTCAGAGGTGTGATTGCCCTTAAAGTGTGTAAGACAATCAAGAAATACTCTACAGAATAATTCAAAAATACTTGATACAGATCACAATACACTTGAAGAAATATATAATCTTTTTTTAATCATGTACCTATGTACATTTGTCTTGAAGCTTGTTTGACAGAATTTAGAGAGCAATTCAGAAAATGGAGTCGTCTCTGAAGAAGTTTGTTGTTTTCTTACTATTGGTGTATGTATGTGAAATATATTCAGTTATTTCACTTAATCATTGCCATGATTCAAGGGTGCTAAGCATGTAGCTAGTCGGGGTAAAAGGTTAATTTGGTTTGTAGCAATCTTAGATATTTACCTTTTTTTAGCTTCTTTGACATTGACACGTATGATGCTTGTTGGTTTTCTCATGCACCAGGCAGGTTGTAAGAAGATAAACAACTAATATTTTTATTCCTTATTAAGTTTTTTTTATACATTTAGATTGAATGAATAATATAAATGATCCATATCAATCATTTGTACAATGGTGGATTATGATATAGGGGATTAAAACAGAGATCACAGCTATCAAAAAACACAACATAATCTATGATTGGGTTTTTAGGCTTTACATAGGATGGACAGGGATAATCATAAATCAGGAGTTTTAACTTCAGCTTTCCAGATTTCCTTGGTATTTACTAACCTTGAATATATGGCGATAATAAACAATAGATGTTTTGAGGTCAAAACTGACTCATTCAATTCATGGCATTCTTAATACAAATCGAAAAATGGTATGAACAATGGAGTGATATGTATATTAAAACAATACAAATCTATGACTCAATAACGAGTTAAAAGAATACATATAATATACATCCCTCTCTTTCTCTCTCTCTCCCTCTCTCTCTCTCTCTCTCTCTCTCTCTCTCTCTCTCTCTCTCTCGCCCTGCATCTTTTTTCTGCCTTCTCATATTTTCTCTCTTTCTCTATTTTTTGTTTTAATCTGTGAAGAAAATTATACTTTTAAAATTTGTTCCAGGCTTACCGAACTTCACATCACATTCAAGACTTCATCACCTTTACCTCATTTGAACAGTCAACATAGTACAATATCATGTACATGTATTCTGCACTAACTAAAGATTTAAATTCTGCATTTGAAAAATATTACATGTTGAAATCTTAATTTTGAAACATGAAGTAGAAGAAAGTTCTTCTAGACAACAGTCAACATGTTTCTAATTTTTTTATTCAAAGATGTAGGAAAGCAAATGGATGAGAAGCCAAATGAAATATCAAATCATCATGAATCCACTAATATAATTGCTATTAATATGATTGATACAAATCAATGATTACACTTGTGAATTGGTGGGATGAGGAACTCAATGAATGAACACACTGTGGGTAGGGAGGCTGTACAACAAGGGGATAGTTCATAAAGAATCCAGATTATGATATTGAAAGTTTTGTGTTGGATTGCTAGCTGAGAAAGGAATGTCTGGAGTTACTCCCTGGGTAGAGAGATGACACCTTGAGAAGAAAAACAGACTCTCTTTCTATCCATCTCACTCTATCTGTCCCTTCTCCCTCTCTTCTTTCTTTCTTGTTTCTTGCTTCTCCCCTCTTTGTTATTTTGCTGTTTTCTGCCACTTTCTCTTTCTTCTTCTATGAAATATACTTTTTAATTCTTCCTACTGTTGCATACTGCAACTTGTCTCTCTTCTCTTCTAACACTTTCTTTTTCACTCCCTCTGGCTCTTTGAGATGTATCTTGTGTAGAACTGTTAGCATTTCTCTCTCTCTCTCTCTCTCTCTCTCTTTATTTTGCTGTCCTTACGATTCTGTAATATGGCAGAGCAATTGAAGCACAGATGAAGAAATAGCTCATGCTTTACATGGATTAGCCTTCCTTTAACCTACTTTTGTGACCCTTTTTTATTAAATCACTGTCAGTGCCAATTTTCTCTCCCTCCCCCACAGTCCATCTTTTTTCTCTTTCTCTCTGAGTCTCTCCCTCTCTCACTCGCTCATCCTTTCCTCTCATCTTCTCTCTCTCTCTCTCTCTCTCTCTCTCTCTCTCTCTCTCTCTGCTTTTCTACCTCTATTCATCCCTCCACCTAGACCATGGGATGACCACTGCAATCTGTGGCCCTCCATTTCAACCCACACAATAACAGCTTGAAAATGTTACTAAAAATACAGAATCACTGCTGTTGCCATTTGCAAAGTGTGCATAATACCTCAAAACTTAATATTTTGTAGCACAAATCTGTCCTCCTGAAGCACAGCATCTATTCCCTCCCACCCTCCCTCCCTCCCTTCATCCACTGGCTGGTAGTTATCTCCCATGTCAAGAGGAGTGATGAGGAGCACTTAACCTCTATAAACCTTCATCTTTTCCTTCCCCACTAGTGCAAGACACAAGAACAAGAGAATAGACAATCAGAAAAAAGAGAACAAAATTGTACCGTATGAGTGAAAATGGAATGCAAGATAATCAGCATAGATTTAGCATTACATTCTGTCTGAAAGTCACATGTACACTGACACTATAATTGGGTTTACTATATGACTCCAAACAGCTTTATTGCCCTCATATATCCTAGCAACTCAACCAATATATGCCATGTATTTACTTGATTTTCATGGTTTACAGCCTGTCTATCCCACATGAAACCTCTATGCTGTAAATTGGCAACACCAGTTGCACAGTATGGTTTTCTTCCTCTCCAAATCAATTTAGGATCCATGCTCCAGAAAAATCAAAGGTTTCCTCTCTTTCCCCTTTGCTCTGGTGTCAATGACACAAACCACCAGGGCCGAGGTGATGGCTATGTAATTTGAAGTTGCCAAGCTTATCGGCTGGCTAGATAACTTGCGACAGATATTGATTATGGTGGCAGGGGTCCTGATATTTTGCAGACAAACACAACATAATGGGTGCAATAGTATTGTTGCAGGCAGAGCATAGAAACAGATGAAAGATATGAGGATAGAGGGTCTCACAAAGAGTCGATGATTTTAAGCAAAACCAGGAAAAAGAAAGGTAGGGTATCTATTTGTCTGAAGAAAGACAAACTTGACAGGTATTCCAAAAAATCAATGATTACAAAGTAAAAATTTTAACCAGGAAGGTATCATAACCTTTAAAAGTATACTGCAATGTTAGGTCAAAATATAAAAGTATGAAAGATAGAAAAATTACCTTACTCATTGCTTTCACACAAAGTACACACAAGAAAAGACTATTCTGTAAAATAACAAGGAAGCGATGAGGAGCACATGACAATGTGAAATGTATAGGCAAAAGCACTCACTATATTCCTGTATTCACAAACAAATAAGTTGTTCAGCATATATGCATATGATGCACCACGCGTTACCCCGGGGTACCGCGTTGTGTAGCGCCATCTCGCGTCCACTCGAGTACAATGTATGGAGTGCGTGTACATAGTTCCGTGGTATCTCTATGGTGTATACTATGCATGGTGTGCATGCATGCACTGCTCGCGCTATAGCGCTCGCTCACGATCACAAGCGCACTACGGTGGCTATCGCACACTATAGTGCTAGCTAGCTCCGGCGTCCGGTCCCGACCCGCGGCTATTTTAGAACTTGATGTTATTGCACGTACGTACCGTACCTGTATACTCTTTTGAAAAAAAAACAACAAACAAACATCGCATCATCGACATAGTTAACGCGCGCGTTACTGTCAAACTTATTCAATTGGAAAATTTGTTTATTCACAACACATGAGATTATCATGACTGCTGTACACAGATAGCATCATAACACGAAATAGAACTTTCATTTATAATTAATAATTTTAATTATACCACAATAATAATACAGGGTGTATCATAACAGCATGAAATGATATCAATAATAGAATAATTACTCATAACAACAATGAATTTTAGAAATACAGGACTTAAAGGATTTTTTACAAGAACATTGGACACAATTGAAGGTTGAAAAAATCACACAAAAATAATTTCCCACTTTTTGGTAACCCAGGGTACAGCCTTAAAAAAAAAAATAATAATTCAACAAAATGGCCGAATTTTTTTTGGTACCCCAGGGTACCATTTATGTCATCATATACAGATCCCTTTCGTCTTCCTCTTCCTGTGTTACTAAACTGTTTAGAGCCCAATTCACACTAGAGCTATAACCTGTTGCCGCAGAGAGGTTTTTGGCAGTCTTTAAAAAAAGGTTGTCAATGGTCGGCTGGAATATTATTATTTTTTACTGTTTATCTTGTTTTGTTAAGATTTGTTTTCATTTGACATTTTGTATAATTGCCTTCCTTATTATTAATGTGCACTTTCTGTATGTATTTGTCTCCCTCAGTGGTTGAAGAATGGACAGCCGCTGGTGATCCGAGATACCCGACACACCGTTCTAGACTCTGGCTCTCTCTTCTTCCTTCAAGTGGTTGGGAACCGTCAAGGAGGACAGGATGGTGGGGTCTACCAATGCATGGCTCACAACTCATTAGGAACAGCATACAGTGCTAATGCTACCCTAGAAATAGCATGTAAGTCTAGAACTGCCAAGACTAGCCTTCTCTCTATTTAGATGACAAGGCTTGTCTTGAAATATAGATTTCTAATTTCTTGACAAATTTCTTATTGTTATTTTCACCTGTTCTTTCTTATCTTTCTTTTCTCCCCTTTTTTCATCTACATTTGGGCAACTCTACCAACAAATTTCATGGTATAGACAACAACTCCAGAACTATATGTGCTACCATAAGAAATATACTCACATGAAAAAGCTCAACAACCTGGGTAATCTGATTGGTATATCAATATGATTGAAGTAAATGGGGTGATATTAACAACATAAAGAAAATACACTGTGGGGCAAATCATGGCAACTACTTTGGTTAAAACATCCAATCTTTGGGTCTTATTATTTCATCCAACAATCTCTTCAGATTTTAATTTTTTTTTTTTAATTTGAGATGAATGTAACAAAGATTCCCTACCGATGAGAGGTTTGCAGTGAACATTTTAAAACAATGCTATCGGTGTAGGTTGATATCAAGCTTCGCACCATTTTACATCAAGAAAATGTGCGATCAAGAGAAACCTTAGCTCTTGTAAAATTTGAGTTAGTATTCATCTCCCAGTTATCATATTTGTTGAGGATTATGATGAAGAAGTAAAAAAGATAACTTAAGGTCACGCAACTTCAAAAGGTAGTAAATTGCAAGTTTTCAAGCCTTTTTTATTCATTAAAACTGGCAATCATCTCTGATTAAATGGACATTGCTAAAAATGTCTTGAACATAATCAGTTGAACCGTTACATCAACAACATGAGCTTGAATTAGAACAATGAATTCCTAGTGATGCTGACGGTAAACACCCACTTGTTGAGTTTGTAAGAGGAGTGGTGAGATGGTGAATGGAGAGAAGTTTGAGGGTTTGTGTGAGCGTGATCGGAGGTGTAAATGGAAGGAGGGTCTTGGGTTTCTCTTGCCATTAGATGGGGAGCCATGAATAGAGAGCTTCCGGGCTCCCTTCATATGAAGCACGTGTCGACGCTCTACAACCTCTTGAGTGCAACTGATATGACTGATGGATGGAAGAGAACCAAGTAGAGAAGGTAGCTGAGATAGATAGATAGATTGATTGATTGATAGATACATACATAGATAGATAGATAGATAGATTGATAGATTGATAGATATAGATTGATAGATAGATATATAGATAGATAGATATAGAGATAGATAGATTGATACATACATAGATAGATAATGGATAGATAGATAGATAGATAGATAGTTAAATTGATAGATTGATAGAAATATAGATAGACAGATAGACAGACAGACCGACAGATAGAACAAATGGTATAAATGAAGAAAGCAAATGAATGGATAGAAGGAAAAAGTGACATGATGGGGGTTTCTGAATGGAATGGAGGGATAGATAATATTATGAATGCCTTGCTCAGGTAGGAAACCTGATTGGTTTGTAGGTTCATTTACTTCATTATTTTTTAATGGAAAATACATATGTTTGAAAATCAAAGGGAGAAAGATAGGAGGGAAAAACACATTTAAGTATAAAAGACTGCAGGTTTCTTTCAGAAAATGCTTGATATTGATTTTATGATTTTGTAAGATGAGAGTTGTAAATATGGAAAGTGGCTACTGACTGTGAAAGACCTTGCATGTGAAGTAGAGGGCAAAGGGGTAAAGTGGAGAAAGTGAGAAGGATCGATAGACCAGAAGGTAAGAAGGTATAGTAGAGAGCAAAAGGTACTGCATGGTGAAACTAAAAGTGAGACAATATGAAGAAGACACTCAGTGCATGGTGGTAAAGAGGAACATGAATGGATAGATATGGAGTAAAAGTTTGGGAAGGGACAAAGAGAAGGTGAAAAAAATGAAGGGAGTGAGGGAGGAAGGATGAGAGGGGAGCAGAAGATAACAGACAGCACCCCCCCCCCCCCCGAAAAAAGACCAATTCAAAGAGAAACAAGAGCGTTGGGGAATTGTAACCAAAGAAAGAAAAGTTGAAGAAAACAAGAATATATTCCAAGATAGATAAAAGAAGGAAAAAAAAGGTTAAAACTTATAACAGGCCAACAAGTAACAAGTTATGTGACCTGCATGTTATATTTACTACCTTGCATGACAGCCGAACTGGGGAATACACAAAAGTTCCCTTCTTTTTCTTTATTTCTCATAGATTTTGATGAAGCATCATCTTGCTTTTTTCAAGTTGAGTATCTGACCTTTTCGAGAAGAAGAGGCTAGAATTATTTACAAGTCAAGTGCCTTCTGCCATCCACGCTTTTGTTTTTCTCTTTCTCCCCAAAATTTCAATGAGAGCATATTTGTGGCATCATGGCAAACACATTTTCTATGTAAAGCTACATTTTCTGTTTTGGGGGGAAGTGGGGGGATTGTCAGTTATGTCATGAAGGTGGAGCTGACATTTTGGAACCTGGACTAAAAACAAGATTCTTGACTGTATTTTCCAACTTTTTTTTCTCAAGGAAAAATTCAAGTGATGCACACCCATGCATTATTTACTTTCATCAAAATATCATCTTCAATATATTGATTCTTCTTTGATTACCATTTTATTAGATCAAGAAGGATGTTTGATTAATGTAAAAGCAAGAAGTTCTTGGATAAACATTTACAAGTTATTGTCCCATTAGCTGTCCGCAGTATGTCCTTGGTCACTTCTTTCCCAACTTGCTGAATCCCTCTCTCACTCTCCTCTCTCTCTCTCTCTCTCTCTCTCTCTCTCTCTCTCTCTCCCTCTCTCCCTCTCTCCCTCTCTCTCCCCTCTCTCTCTCTCTCTCTCTCTCTCTCTCTCCAATGATTTGAATCTATTCTGGCTCTGTCATTCCAGCATCTTCTTGCCCTCCAAATCAGCCGTGTTTTGTATTGAATGCTGATTCCTTCTCAGGTCACATGCAATGGTTTTTCTGAAACTAAAACCTATCAGCAGTACCAAACTGCTTGAAGCCTGTCAGACCCAGTGTATTCCACACAATGTAAGCGAACACGCGTAGAAGCCCAGTTCAAGTCCTGTGGAAGTCGTGCCAAAGCAAAGACTATAGATCAAGCTACATCGTGTCGTCACGGCAATGGTAAAGTAAGAATAACACAGGCGCAGACAGGAAAGGGGTGAAATAAAGCTATGAAAATGCAATTGAACTAGAGACAGAGTGGAGATCACTGCCACGCATGCATAGAGTGGTACCAGTGACCATAAAAGGAATCCAATAAGTCAACTCTGAGCACTGTCTGAGGTAGGGTTAGAGATAAAGGAGAAGAAGCAGAAAATAAATGCATTAACAGGCCTTTAAACATACACACAAAGGCAAAAAAGAAAGGTGTATTGTATTGTATTGCATTTATTAAACTTCTTTGATGTACATCAATGTTCTGTTTTTAAAAATATAAATCAATTTACAATATAATGTAACAAATCAATATTCTGTTTGGAAACATATATCATATAAATCAATTTACAATGTAATGTAACAAATCAATATTCTGTTTGGAAACATATATATCATATAAATCAATTTACAATGTAATGTAACAAATCAACATTCTGTTTGTAAACATATATACTGTATAAATCAATTTACAATGCAGTGTTTATAGCAAAACAGAAGGAAAATTATATCCAGCAGAAACATTCTTTTTTTCATTTTGTAATAACATGACATAATGCATATAGTAATATAATGTACCATAATACATCCAAAGATTTAGATATATAAAACATAATTCAGCACTTTTCTAAATAAATTATAACTCATGCCATACAAAATAGGTAAATGAGGTACATGGAATGCCAAAAATAAATGACGTAATAGTACTCTTTTGTTCATGGTAGAAAGAGAGATCATAAGGAGACAACAGTGTTTGACCATGGAGAGATATAAGAAGAGATCTCCATGGTTTGACCGACTGACCATTGATGCTCCATATTCAATTAGATTATAAAGAATTGAAGAGGGGAAAAGACACTACCAAATAAAGATAAACAATGGATGGAAAAGAAAGGAGAGGAAGTTTCCAACCATATTTTATTGAATCATACTGTTCGTGAATCATAATTACAACTCATTAATCTTGTTTTGCTTTGGTTTTGAGAGAGGGAGGATATAAAGAGGGAGAGAGAGAGTGATAGTGGAATAAATCATTGATTATTCATCTTTCCACTTCACTCTTCATTTTTCTGTCTCTTTCATCTATTTTCTCTCTCTCTCTCTCTTTCTTTTTTTCTTTTTCTCTTCTCTTTTTCTTTCATTTGTATTGGGTTTTTCTGCACACTTTTATCATCCTAATTTGTTCCTTTCTGGCTTCTTATGCTGTGATCTGTTGTATTTCCTCTTTCTCTTACTCTCTCTCTCTCTGTATCTCTTGATTCCCACTCTCACTTTGTTTTTGTTTTTCTCCTTTCATCCCTCTTTTTTTCCCCTCGATATTTTTCTCTTTTTCTCACTTGTTCACATTCTGTTCTTCCTCTATCTCTTCCTCTTTCTCCTCCTCTATCTCTTCCTCTTTCTCCTCCTCTATCTCTTCCCTCATCATATACAGACATTGAGACTTTAAAGCCCCATCATGCATGAGAGACAAACACATCATCTTTACAATGCCAAAAGGCCAATCAATTAAGAAAAGGGTGAAAAATCATTTACGTTGGGGGCATTTCTTAATTGCATGCTGTAAGAACTAATAAAGAACTCATCAAAAATTCCTGGCCATGCATTCCTCTCGCAGCGCTTTCAGTAATTACTTCTTCTTGGTTTTAGGCCATCCCTCACCCACCCACCCACCACTGTCATGTGTATGTCTAAATGCTCAGCGACACAAACTTAGTTTTTTCCCCTAGTTATTTTTTTTATAGAATGTAGACCCAATGGGTTGGGGGCTGTTTATAAAAATATTGAGTTCTCTAATTTGCAGCATTCAGGTGAATAATAATTCGCCAATTTGAGCGAGATTGCATCTTTTGGGGCGTTTTACTTGTTTATAAGAAAAAAACAA